GAGAGTTCAGCTTCACTGGAGACGTGCGATCGACAAACTTTAAACTCGTGATTTCAAACTATGCTGCGCTTTATGCATTTGCCCACTGTCATATTCATGTCATTTTCATTGCGTGCTGTATGTAAAATGAGTGTTACCTTGGCTTTATTTGAAAAAAAATAAAATAAAATTCCCAATGCACACAAACTTCCCAGAATACTGAGTGGCCTGTTGGTTCATTCCTTTTCAATTAGATATTTATTAAATATTTATTTGTGAAAAATGCTTTGTCTTCTAAATTATAAGTATGTTTATTTTACACAATTATTTTCAATCCATTTTCAAATGATTTCAAATTTCTTAAATATTAATTAAAATAAATAAAATTATATCAGCCATCGGCCACCCTGCTTTCCAAGATATCGACTGTCAAAAAACCCATATCGGTCGACCACTAGTTTTGACTCCTTAATGAAGCCTCCAATAACAGCAATTCAATTAAATATTACAATGTTAAAAACAGACGAGCATACTTTTTTTAAAAGCCATGTAAAATTAGTAAATAAATCAATCTTACTTTGCCTGGTCTGCGAAGACTTTTCAGTATGTTCCTTTTTTTGGGATCTTCTCCTTCTTCATTGAGTATGTCTGCCTTTAGTCCTGAAACATCATCATCTTTTGACCTTGAGAGAGTGCCAATCTCATCATCGCTACCAATGGAAAAACTAGTGCGGAAACTGCTGAACTTCCCCAGACGTTTGGAACAATCACGGTAGAGACGTGGCTTCACCCGTGCAGCGGAGAACTTGCGACGTCTCTCCAATGAACTGCCATCCCCTTCACTGTCTGAACCATTGCCTCCTCCATTAGAGTGGATCCGATTGGAATTGCGGATGGTAATAATTTTGCCCTGTGTGCTGTCATGTGGCACAGAATATATGCTGTCCTCATAGCTGGGGCGGGGTTTAGAGACAGCATCCATTGGCTCAGCGTAGTCCGAAGGATCATAATCTCCTCCTAGAGGCCACGTCACATTGGATGTAAGGGAACGGCGATGGCTGACTGCATCCACATACGGATTAAAATTTGGTTTTCTAAGGTCAAATGTGACACTAGGTTTGGGTCTTACTTGTGGAGGAACTTTATTATTTAGCTTGTTCTCAAAGGTGCTAAGGTCAGAGATCACAGAGAATGTGTCACCTGAGTCCAGGTCAGGCAATTTGAATCCACCGTGAGAGGTGAGTGTGCCATCATGGTAAGGCGGGGAAGCTTCCATGTCTTCCTCAGAATCTAACAGCATTGTTACAGGGCTTGAGGAGCCACAGTGTGGCGAATACACATTCTCATTTGTGCTACTGGTGTCTGCAACGTTTTCATACATATGACTGGCCTCAACAATAGTTCTCTTTTCTAATACCTCTGTGAAAAATTGTTCCAAAAGGTCTAGTTTGTGTAGTCCTCCAACAACTACTCCAGTGCCACAGACAATACTGCAAAACCGTCCATCAAGTTCACGGGCCAGTTCTTCACCTTGGACTAGCAACTCATGAGCAGACTCAGAGTCCAGAAGCTCAGTCCGGGTTTCCCCCACTGCAAGCAGCTGAACTGGGACAATGTCCTGAACCTCACACAAAAAGGCACACAGGGTTTCAAAAGAAGCCTTGCGGCTAGCAGAGTATACAGCAATGTAGCCATGCACCAGCCGACTCTTACGAGTGGCAAAAGAAGCATGGTATGACATTAGAGACAGTTCAATTGTATGCTTGTGACCACCAATTGTTTGTTCTAGCAGCACTGAAGTGCCACTTGTTTGAGGAGAGGTCGGCCTGCAATGCTGAGGAAGCAGGAATGGTGCAAAGAGTTGATCAATGTCATAGGAGTCTCCACACATTAGGCACATGACAATACGCAATTCAGCCTCTGGACTCTGATCCTGCTGTAATTCTCGAATGCATGGAGGCAGTGGAGGTGCAGGTGGAGAACAGCTACGAAATGTAGATGTCCTCCTTGTTTCTAGTAGAACCTTCAAGACCTGATTGATCTGCTTTTCATTTACATTTCGCCCATAGCCAGTGCCTGGGGAGGCAGGTTCCAGGTAGTTACACTGCAGTTTTATGGCTACCTGCTGACCCTGTGAGATTAATGCTTGAGCAGTCTCACCACCAATGTCACCCAGTCCTCCAACACCTCTTTTGGTTACTAGTAAGAGTGACAGGGGAAGCTGAGCCATATGGTTGTCCCTTCTGCCAAGTGTGGACTCTCGCAACTTCTCAATACTTTCAACAATGTATGACAAGGACTCTTTTGAATTGTACAAACACAGGCATCCATGGGGAGTAAATGTGGATGTATGAAATGAATTGACAGGAAGTCTAACATTACCCTCAATGGGCCGAAGGACAAGCTCATACATTCTACCTTCAAGCATATAATGATCGTCATTGGTACACAATGCCCGAATCTCATTGGCTAATTCTCTGGCAAGACCATCTTTGCCCAGTATAACAAGATTGATTCTATCTACCTTTCCATCAAACATATTGGACTTTCCAAAGGAAGGGTATTGTGCAGGGAAGCACGAAGCTAGTATTTGCTCAATTTTGTTGTCAACACAGTGTGGGCACTTCGGACATGTTTCCTTCGTAGGGTGATACACAAAATGGATGTGTTTCAGCACTAAAGCATCCCTTTCGGCTTGTAATTTCTGAAGGGTCTTGAAGCGTTGTTCTTCACCTAACACTTCTTGAATTGCTCCCATCTTCTCTTTACTAGGTTTGGCATCTACCTCAAGTTCATAAAAGAGCTCAGAGTACTCCAGCAAAAGCTCCTGAAAATCCTCTTTTGCCCTGTCGATGATTGCTTTCTGGTGCCGGTTATAAATGTCCAAATATTCTGGCTCCTCAAGCCACTGGTAGAAGTCTTCGTTCATGATGAAGCTTCGGGCCTCCTCCCAGGGTTTGCCAGGGGTAACGAAAGGTGATGATGCTAATTTTGCTTTGAACCCATGACGCATCTGGGCACGCTTGCATTCGTTGCGCAAGTGTTCAAGGTGTGCATCAAAGATTATTTCAGCAGCCGTGGTGTCTAGCACATCAAAGGGGATACGCTCATCCTCCATGTTGTCAAGATGTGGTGTTTCCTCCCATGGTGCATCGTCCAGTACCACAAACCAATGATCAAAGTCTTTTTTAGACTCGAGGACCTTCTGGACCCCTGACCAACTCAAATGCTCAATTTCATCCAACTCGGACACTAAGCTACTCAAGGCGAGTGGAAGAGCGCTCAAGTATGCTTTGCGACGCCTTTCAATGTGTTCCTGTTTTAGCCTGTGAATGTGTTGTTGAAATAGCTTTTTAGCCTTACCCGTACCTTCTAAAAATACATACTCCTTGTATTCAGGTGAAGTCTGCATTCGTCGGCTAACGTTGGGCCATGTTTCATTGTGATTCTTCACAATGTGGTTCACTAACCACTCATAGCGGTCCTTTGCAGAAGCAATTAGTTGACTCTGGTGTTTCAGTGCCTCAAAGTAAGGTATGATCTTGGGCTTACCTCTTCCCTTATCAACGAGCTGTATCAAGGTAAGGAAAGCCAAATCAACATTGACGTTGGACCGTGCCGACGTTTCAACAACCTGCAAGTTCTTTTTTGTAATGGCAAAGGTATGAGAGTCCTTGATGTATCGCTCCACACCCTCATCACACTTAGTGAGAACCAGCACAATAGGCTTTTTTGTCTTGCTTAAGTGATTGTACAAGTTGGTGACAAATTTCATTTGATCATCAAAGTTGCGGTTCATACCACGACTGACATCAACACAAAGCAGAAAGCCATCCACCTGCAACTTGCCTTCGGGCATTTGCTTCTGTTCGAAGTCTTGCTCCAGTCCCAACTGATCAGTGCAGAAGTACATAAGTTTTTCAGCAGAAGCCAGTTTGGTGGAGGCAGCTCTTTTGATGTAGGGCTGTAAGGCTGTGCTGCGATGGGGCTGAAACGTCTGGTCATCAATGAATTCGGTCTGCTCAACCACATGCATTCTGCAGTCTGCGCAATCTTCCAAAATTCTCCCCACTTCTCCCCAGAACAGGAAGTGGTCATTGTTGACAACCCGGCCACCGAAGTCACTTGTACTTAGCACAGAAGTGTGATCAAGATGGAAGTCATCCGCACTAGGGCGGACAAAGCGGTTACAAAGGCATGATTTGCCAACTCCACATTGCCCCTTCTCCTTCTCAGTTCCCGACAGGCCAACAACAACGAGGTTGTAGATAGGCATTCGGGATTCTTGCTTTTTAGCCATCATCATCGTACACGGGCATTCATCTTGCCATGCCCCAAAGGATGACAGAGGCAGACTCTTTAAAACGTGTCCATAAAATGTTGAAGTAAGGCCCTGTATTTGATTCACAATTTAGGATTTAGTTCTGATGTTTCAATCATCCTTTCAGATCAAGAAAACTGCTTGTATGTTCGGCCCATATTAGAGGGTACTAATCAGAGATGAGACATGAAGAGGCAGAAGCAGGAATTGGGGCTAGCCTAAATGAGAAAAAGAGGGAGAAAGGCACAAAAGGCTAATTTAAAAGCATTTTAACCTACTTAATGAGTTCCCACAGATATTAAGATGATATTCAATTCACATAGTATAACCCCACATTAAACACTAAATCCCTTAATGTACCTTGCAATTTACATAAATAAATTTCAATGTTTCTAATAACGGTTCTTCAATAATATTTAAATGATAGTCTAAACAAACATTAATACATGTAGAAATACAATTCTAATCAAAAAAGCAAAAGTTTTGATTATGGATTTCAATATAAGACTGATAGATCAATTTCTATGCTAGCAATCCTACACAACTATGTAAATACTCAAAAAACTACAGTAGTCAACATTTGAAGTGGATCAAAACCTTTCATCAAAGTTGTCCTAAAACCAAAACAATACCCGTTCTTGTCTTAGGACAACTTTGATTAACTTTTTTGATCCACTTCAAATGTTGACTACTATAGTTAGAATAGTTCACTTCACAGTCCTTCATAATCATCTATTAACACTTGGTTTCATGATGTGCTTTGAATTTGAACACTGAATTTGAATACTGTTCGCTAGTTTCTGGTTATTTTGTGTTTAGTTTTTGCGAGTTTCCAAAACACTTAAAATGGTTATTATTTAAATGGCCACATTGCTTGCATACAGTATGTTGGTTGGCCATTTAATAATGGTGCTTTCTTACACAGCAGACATAAGCAATAATTCCAGCATGTAATTAATCCACTGTTATCCTTAGTTAGTGCTAGTGCTGCTATTTAAAGACTTAGGAAATTCCTGATTAGTTCATTTGCAGTAAATAAGTCTTGTCTGAAGTAGTCAATTCACATCCCAAAGTTCAATACTGTAAATAAAATACCAAGGCTCCCATATTCTTACAGCCAAAATCATATTAATGACAACTTTTACAATATTTCATTATCTGAATGTCACTGGTGCTTGTCAGTTCAACTTTCAATTCAAAAACATTGCCAGGGTGTTACTAGATGGTTTCCAAGTCATTCTGAGCTGTTCGTAAAGCGTTGCTATGTGGTTGTTCAATCATTCATTTAAGTTTCTATGATATTCCGGTTGTAGATATGGACCAGGTTGTATAATGTGTGATTACACAATACTACATACAAAATACTAAGGTACAATATAATAAATACAGAAAACCTTAAATAACAGTAAAGGTAATTTCCCCCCCCCCCCCCAGTGAACTGTAGCACTTAGCAGTTAGGGTCAAACAGTTAACCTACATTTTCAAAGTATTTTATGAGCATGATCTAATAGCAAGCACATTTAAACAAATAAGAACTAGTGAATAGAATATTAACAGCATTTATTGATTTCTTTCTTTAACCATCTCTGTATTATTTCAAACACAATAGCACACCCACAATTCCGTCATTTTCTCACTTATATGTCATTCCAAACCCATATGGCTGTCTTTTATCCGTGAAATGCATAATGTAGTTGATTGCTGTTTTCCATCCAATTACAATGAATGTGGACTGGAGCTTTCAAGCTTCAGAAAGGACAAAAAAGCACCATAAAAGCATCATAAGTGGCTGATGTGATGGGCTATTCCATGTCTTCTAAAGCCATTATTTGAAAAACAGACCGAAATTTAAGTTGTTGTTTTACGTTGTTACTTTCATGTTACTTTTTTGCTTTTCTGTAGCTTGATGGCCCCAGTCCTCATACACTTTCAATATACTGAAAAGAGTGGGCAGAATATTCTTAAATTCACCTAGTGTGTTCCACAAAAGAAAACATTCTCACAGAATTTTTTGGTGTATTAACTGTTATCTAAGGGCATTGTCACATACTGTATGCAGTTGTGGGAAACCAGTATTAACTGTATGCATATTGTAAATTAGACAACTAAATGGGTGACATTTTAACATTTTCAAAGAATGTATTCAGTAATCATTTATTTAATTTACTGAAAAAAAGAATTTAAAAATAATATGAAACAAGATTACTTTTGACAACAATTCTTGCACTTTGCAGCAAAACAAAGGCACATACATTATTTACGTTGTTGTATTGTTATGAATGCATAATACAGTATTAAAAAATCTTTATTCATCACTTAATTAGTGCTGTACCAAATACAATAAATAACAACATTTTTGGCTATTTAAAATAGCGTTTTCTACAGCTATTCCTGGACGATGTATTACTCCTGCTTACTTTTAGTGGTACAGTACCACATGAAGGAAATGTTTTGCTGGTGAATCCTCATGCAATATCTGGTGTTGTAGACTTAAAAACAAAAATACAGACTCTGTCTGGCTACAGAGCTCAAAGTAGGCGATCCACAGGCGGGTCAGGTGCAGTCCAAGTGGGTGCTAGCGACAATACTGTTTGATTGCTACATGATATCTGAGTCTACCAGCTGTTTAGACTTACCTTCAACACACACACCAAGACACAACCTGATGTTCTGACTTCCCTGTACTTGCTGTAGCCCACTGTGTTGTTAGACACTGAGAAATATATGGCTTGAATATACATCAAGCACAGTTGTGGTTGTATGTGCATGGCAAAATAAAGACATCCTACGGCACACTCTTCAAGCAAAATACACATGTGAAGTTCTGAACCCTAAAAAAAAAAAAAAGCAACTGCTAAAGTATTTCACTCCCAAAGCCTAGGCCCAGCATAGCCTAAGCAAGAAAGCTACGTAATGGGGATGTCATGGTTCAGAGCTGCCTTCCTATGAGCGGCTCAGCTGTCTGTGCTGCTGCAAGAGAAATTACACACTCAACTGTCTGTGACATTTTCCTCACGTATTTAAATCAGAGTATGCGGTTATAATAAATTAGCGCGATTCATCTACGTTGGTGTATTCTTCAATGCAGCGTTACATAGCGACTAACTAGGTGCACATCACGTGAGAAAATAGTCTGCCAATTTATAACATTCTGAGATTATTAGAGTGCAAGATAAATCCGTTTTCAGTGCAACCAAGGCGCTGCCTGCACAATAGACAGTACTCACTTGTATTTGTAGATACAATTTTCCTTCTGTAGCTACTAGGTAGCCTACTTCACTCCTTATTTAAAGATATTCGATTTATAGGCTTCTTAAACGTCTGAAATCTGTCACGTAGGTGACACGGTCTACTTTGCTCGCAAATACTTGTTTTAATGAAACACCGGGGTTAATACACATACATACCAGTGTTTTTCTCCGTCCTCCCTTTCCCTTCTCAATCCCTCTTCCCTCGTCCAGGCCAGCGCAAGAGGGTTTACGACCGAGCCGGTCAGTGTTGTTGGAAACCATAAAGAAAGGAAAACAAAAGACTACGCAAAAAGCCGAGGACATTAAATTCCGTGGGGGCTGTTTGATTGTGGTTTGACAGACTTGCAGTTTCCAAGGGATATTTTTGTCAGGCGCAACTTACTGATCTCGCGTTCGCATAGAAACGGCTGTGAAAATCCACCGACGGCTAAACATATCCAAACAAAAAATGTCCTTTCTCGGAGGCCAGTCGTTTCCGTGCAGAAAAAGGCTTGTTTTAATTTCTTCCTCCGGCCTAAGCACGTTGGTTTTGATCTGTTATAATGCCCTTTGTTGTGGCCATAAAATGCTGATTTACCGTGTGCCGACGACATGCAGCGATGCCTTTACACTGAGACAAAACATCCAGTTTTTCGTAGCCAAATCACGAGCAATATGGGCCACGCATGTCTTTAAACGTTACAATATATATACATTGTGCGTGAGGGTGAAAGTGATTGTCCAAGCCTCCCAATAATGGCGGTCCCTACGCCCGAGCACAGCTCTGAGTCTGCCCTCTTTCGCTCTCCTTTTTTGAGGATAAAAGAGGGTTACTGAGACAGCCGAGACTCGCCCAGTGGCGCATGGAAAACAGCACAGCGCTGAGCCAATTACAAGAGCCGAGCTCTAGCGCGCGCGCGGACTCAGGCCCGACCTAAAGGCGAAGCAGCATCCTTTCAAAGACAGAGTGATTGATGTTGTTGCAGATGATTGTGGTCGTATATACAGTTCTAAAAATAACTGTGTGAAGCAGTATCTTAAAATATAATGCGTCTGAGTGTAACACGTGTTCTAAAACCACGTGAATAACTGCTCATTGTCAAATCTCGCTTTTAGTTATCAAGATTTTGACGTATAGCCTACTATTTGACACTACAATGTTCTTTAAAATTGTAGTAGATTTCACAGAAAGGATCATTTGAGTTTTATTTTATTGTGACAGTATACATAGATCTTGTGAATGAAAATTAACTATCTGAAAAAAAATCTTCACTGTACGTTGAAAAAAATGGTCATCCTTGGTGAATTTACTGAGGTGTCCGTTTACCTGCAGAAAACGGAGCAAGAGAACTGGAATTTGGTTATTGAATAAATGGGGATCTTTTCCATCAACATTCTGTTAATATACTTTTATGTGTTGTGAATCTGTAATGCATTCAGAGTTTCTGAAATAATGAAGTAAGAAAGACCATGACCTTTTAAAAGTCATTTAAAAAATGACATTTATTTTTTAAAACATGATGTAATGCTTGCTAGGAATATGCTTGCCAAAAGTGTAACCATGTATGATAGTGCATATGCATGCTCACAGTGAAGGTTAATGAAGGAGAGGTCAAAGATCACCATTGTCTTCAAGCCTATAGAGAAGACACACCAAGAGGTAAGAGAGGGAGAATGTGTGTGTCTTTTATTGTATCTTTTATTGTATAAATATTTTATGTGCCTTACTTAGAAGACGCCTTGTTTCCACAGTTGAGCTTTTTGCCTGCCAGAAAAGAAGATAACGTTTGATTATACAAGGAAAAAACGATGTGTGCGTGCATTCCTGTGTTTGCTTGTATTTTTTATTATAATGTATGCAGAAAGGACATGCTGTAGATTGCACGAATCTAGACATACTCACCGAATATGATAGCCATGCCCAAACAGAACAAAACAGCTGCAAAGATCAGCCCACCTCTTCTGATTGACTCATAATCTGGCATAAGCACACACACAGATAGTTACAAACAAGATATCCACAAAAGTTTTTCTAAAAAAACTTTGCATTAATAGTTGTAAAGCACAACTTTAGCTTCTGTTTACTGGCTGTTAGAGCAGGACTGTTACTTAGTTTGAGATATGTAAAATAAGACGCAATCAAATGTCCAACATTCACACTCACAAAATACACATTTTCAAATGAGTTTATGATCATTTCACAGTCCTGTCATTTTAATTTAAAGGGGTATAATTAAGCATCAGACATTCTTACCATAGGTGAAATCAGCATCTGAATACTCAGGTTTTTCTTAAAAGAGAACACACAACGGGTATGTTAACTTTAAACCTAGTGTAAATATTATTTTTACTTTCTCTAATACATGTCTAAATTTGTTAAATGGATAGTTGACCCCAAAATCAACCAAAACATTGTTTGTTCTAACAATTTTTAAAATATCTTCTTTTATGTTCTGCAGAAAAAGTCAGTCATACAAGTGTGTAACAACATAAGGGCGAGTGAAAGAGGACATCATTTAAATGTTTTTGTGTGATATATGATATGTTTTTCTTAAAAGACATACTTAAAAGTTTAGTGCCTTTTAGTTTTTATAAGTACTGATTTTCAAAACATTATATAAAGTTGAATCAAACTTACCCACTCCCATCGTTAGCAGTGTTGCAGGATCTCAAAGCTTTCAGGGTTGATAATTGCAGAACTGTGATATATGTGTGTGAGGGTGTAAGTCAAAGAGGAGTTTGAATGTTTGCAGGGAGCTCCTTAAACTCTCTGATGGTGGAATTGTAACTGGTGGAGCGAATGACAAATCAGTGAGAGCTACAGGGAGGAGAGAAAGAGTGTGTGTTTCGTATATAACGACCTTCAAACCCTTCGCTCTGACCCGTCTTATCCAGTAAACCTTAAAACATGCGCATAAACACAAGCCTTTGGGACATTTCTTAATATCTAACCATTGAGCAGTGCTGAATGTGCCCTTGCAATAAGCTGACAAGGTCATTAAAGCTCATTGAGAAACAAACAGACCAGAGACAGATTTAATCTTTGAAGGCCAGATAATCTGATATAAAATAAATAAATAACTCGTGATGTAAAATACAAAAATGATATACACACATTGTGTAATGTACACTTTTTGTAATGTTAATACATTTTAAATTATGTTAATAAATTACAATGAGACTGTTCGTTTATCTGTTAGTTCTATTTCATGGGGTAGTTAAAAATTAATCTGTCATATCCTAAAGAACACATAAAAAAAGTGTAGAACAAATATATAACTAATCACTTAAGTTTCATGTGGGTGTATTCGTAAATCGAACAGATTGCTTCAGTAGTTTTTTCTTGTTTTGAAATAAGAACAATCAGATGTGAGTTTTCAGCGTGTAAAAAAAAAGACCAAGTGGGGTATTCTTTCTAAAGTTAATGATTATGAATAAGTTAAAATATCCCGCCAACTTTCACCTTTTAGACGGAAAAGAAATTGTCTTCAAGAACAGTAATACAGTTTTATTTTTCAGCAAAAATCTAAAATAAAACCATTACTTTACTCTCAGAGTGAAAGTGACTTCAGTTCAATATGTTGCTCCACTGTATTCAGTTTATAATATTATTGAAACTCTTTACATGTAACATGTATTGCTAGGAAATAGTAGTTCCTCCTCAATAGTAGATCTGCTCAGTACATATAATACACAATAGGCTATACAGTGCATTTAGACAGAATTGGACAGCTTAAATGTCCTGGCATTTTCTTCAAGATAGATTCAGTAATGTAATCCATGTTTTTTATTTAAGAACATTAGTATTCCCAAAATAAAAGATTTTACAGACACATTTACATCTTCCGTATTTAAATAATGAATTCAAAATTTTACATAAATATATATTTACTGCAAAAGTGCATGTCACTGTGTGCTCCGTCATTTAAAAAAATGAGAAAACTTATTTCAGTACATAAAAATGTTTACACAGCAGAGCAGAACGTGAAGATTTGTTCTTCATTGTTGTAGTAGAAGGTCATGGTCGCTCTTGCTGTAATTAAGGAAATGGAGCCAGAAAGACACAAGGATAGAAAAAAGAGAATGATAAGAGACTGTTTGCAAAGGAAATATAAGTATGTAATCTCATGACGAACAATATTATGTGTGTTTGCATGTAAAAATGCAAAAGTGTGTTTACCTGCATCTTGCCATATATCCACATTAAAAGTTGCCCTACGTCACTGTAGACCCCTGGACGGTTCGGCTTTCCACAGCCATCTCCCCAACTGGTTACGCCTGTGAGATACCATTTGTCATCAACTTTACACACCAGTGGACCTCCACTGTCCCCCTGGAGAGAGAGGGAGATTGAAAAAGAAGAAATAATACTGAATGAACTAAAAGCATATGAAACAGTACAAAGTTCAAACTGCAATATAATATTGTGCCAAAAGGTGGCAGCATTTTTAAGCTTTTGAATATGAGAACATGTCTAACCTGACAGGAGTCTTTCTCTCCCTTAAGATCTCCTGCACACTGCATGTTCTCAGTGATATGTCCGCCGTAAACAGTAGGTGAGTTACACACAGCTGAGGCTATCAGGTTTACTGCAACCTCCATCAAAAGAGTGGAACTATTATCTGCAAACACACATGTAAAGGCCAGCGTTATTAATACATAAATCAATACATCCAAACTCAACAAAATACATTGGCCTACATATACATTACATACCAGCCCCTTGCTTGGTAACTCCGAAACCTGTGGTCCAGCACTGTTTGGCAGCAGGAAACATCTGGCCAAACACAGGCAGGCAGACAGGCTGTATATCACCTTTTAACAGTATTTACAAAACGTGTCAGTGGTCAGAAGTGCCTCTTTGATTTATCTATTTATGGTACTGTAATTTAGACAGTGCTGTGTATGGTTAATAGCTAAGGTTATGTCAGTTAAGCTATGATTTGCATAAAAGTTTATGTATTATACATCACATGAGTACTTATGTATTCACAATTCTGTGTATGTGTGTGTGTATAAACTTACTGGCAGTTTTACTGAGTTTTAGTAAGGCAATATCATTGTTTTTTGTCGCTGGGTCATAATTCTTATGTAAAATTATTTTCTTTACATTATATGGGCTGGGAAGCCGGAGCTGGGACACCAAACCAATATACACTCTCCAGTTACTAGGCAACTGTGAGCCTAGTGTTTCTCTAAGAAAGGGAGAAAAAAGCAAAGTCATTCATCTATTCATCCAGCCATGCTTTTTGCATATTGTTTGCTAATGTATTCATTAAACTTAATTAGGATTACCGGCCATGATATTGTTTCCAACATGTAGACTAGTCATCAAATCTGTCTAATGTAATGTATACTGACTTGGGGAAGCAGTGAGCAGCGGTAATGATGAAGTCTGGAGCCACCAGAGTTCCTCCACATGAGTGAGACCCTTGGAAATGCAGACTGGCCTGCCATGGCCACTGACCGTCAGCAGCCGCATTTCCCCCTATGATCCTCGATCCTGGTGGCTTTCCACACTCTAAACAGAGAAAGAATAGGAGGGAAAGTAAGAGAGTGTTTAGACTTAGATAGCATTATCATGCAGCAATAACATGTAGCAACAGTGTAAGGTACTCACTGCTGCACTTCAGGGACACAGTCTGCTGACCAGGACAGGACGTACTACAATTAAAACAACATTGTTACACACACACACAATAGAGAACAATAAAGAGTTTTTTCTATTTTCGTGTTTCTTCACACCTTTCTGCATCTAAATATACTGAATCATTATACATTTTCATACTCATTGCCATGTCCACAGTGATTTTTTTATTTAACTTTTTAAAATATTTAAATGAATATAAAATGCAATATTTGATTGCAGTTTTAAATTGAATTTAATAGTTTACTGTTTACACTGACAGATGTATATTACAACACAATTTAGTGGCAATTCGTAA